TTCTGACACTTCTAAAATTTTGACCAGAAATTGCTCACTTATTTTTACTCAAAAAATTTGTTTAAAGACATGACTTTCTATAACTATTCTATTTCTGCAACTGTATATAACCCAACTTATATATTTGTTGAATTGTCTAAAAGTGGATGAAAATTTATCTTTATTTTGCATTCTAAAAACCCGACAGTTTTGCAACGACAATTATTTAAAGGTGACCGAGTTTTACGGTACTCATCACAACTACTGATTATGTAAATTATACCCCCACACTGATTTCATTTTTAGGTAGAACACTGCTCTCAGACAATGTGATAAATCTATAACTCTTCTGAGACTATGATTCTTTTGGGACATGTGTTATATATGATATGAGCTTTTTTCCCTCTAGAAAGCGTTATTTTTATAGCTTAAACAATGTTTTTTTCAAGCATACAGGTAGGATGTTCATTCAAACTGTGGAAATCAAACAAACAATTAATTAATTATTCACCTTGTTCAATGACATCATTATCTTGATGGGGTTCTTGGGAAGCATAAATCGTCACAGGCGGTAGTTGACTTTCAAACTGATATGGCAGATTAGACTGCTGCTGTGTTTGTTGATAACCTAGCTGTCTATCAAAAGCTTTGTACAATCCGTGAGCTGGTTGTTGAATCGTGATGGGATGTAGATCTGAAGACGGTACGCCTTCAGGTGTTTTGATAACTGAAGAGATCATTTGCTGAGATAGAAGACATTAAAAATTTAAATCTCACAGTAATTATTTCTGTATTAAACACTCAACTTAGATGGGGTGCACTAAGTTGTAGTGGAGACTCGCGGCAAGGATTACATAATGCACAACTCGCTATTAAAGACGACTACATTCATCTGCAGATGAGGTGTACAATAAATTATTCAAATCTTGTGGGAGTTAAGAAAATCTGGTAATAAAAAGCTGATACAATTCAAGATAGTTTTATCACTGATTGCACACCTATACAGCTATTTAGTTCTTATAAAACTATTTCAGGAATAACACCTACTATTTTTAACATGTCACTAATTTTAATTTTTAAAACTAG